AGCTGATATCTTAACCAAAGCTGTTTGTAGCAGAGTGTTTTATGACTCACTTACCAAGTTGGGCATTGGTGATGTATATGCACCAACTTGAGGAGGAGTGTTGACGTGAGTCTCCTAATTAATCAAGGAGAATTATTTCCTTGATTAATTAAGGGATTTACTTTCCCATTCCATTTAGTTGACAAATCTGTGTATAATTAGGAGATACTTTCCTAATCCCTGATTGTATCTTATTCCTTGTAAAGCACTCTATAAACCCATATATATACCTCCTTATGGAGAAGAATAAAGGATCTGAACATATTGAAAACCCGTATTCATATTTTAGCAAAGACTAGATCAAAGTACATCAGCATGTCTTTTTCTGACTCGCATATGGTATTAATTTATAACAAGTAAGTATTTGTTGTATATTTTTGCTTTTACGTTCTCCATCGCTTGTATAATTTAAAAATAAAATAAAATATGAGTCAAAATACTTAACAACTTGCTTAAAACAATGTAGATTCAATTTGAAAAATTGGACCATTATGTCGTGCTTTTGTTTCATCAATGTACCACACACATTTGGATGAGTGTTGGTTAGATGATTCACTCTATGTTCATATTAGCATAATTGAGAAATAGATCGATGGTTGGATTCGTTCCAATTAAGTGATTTGCATATATATGGAAAGATAGAAGGAACGCATGACCACATTTTGCACTTTCTTAATTTCTAAAGATATTTGGTGATGATATTCCTTTAGAAGAATTGGAATTTTTCCTTCAAAACCTAATTTTTTCTTATTTGTAGCCTATCGTATTTTTCTTTTGGGAAATGCTAGGGACACGACATTTATACAATATTTTGTGTACCACATCTCTAATAGTACCCCGAATTACATTTTTACGTGTTTTATGGGTTATATTTTATTTAGACATTTAGATTTAGACCCTTTCAACTTTTTGAGAAATTCTAGAATTACATTCATAATTTAGCCAAAAAAGCCACCAACTATAAATGACCAATACAAACTAGCCATAAAGGGCTATTACAATAACGGAGCGATCTAACATCAAAATTAAGAAAATCTACGACTCCTCCACTAACGATCACATAGGATCGAAGAAACTCTGGCATAGGCATCCCAACTAAGAGTGCAAACTCAGAACCAAAAATAGATAAAGCTTGAAAAAACCAAGTCATAACAAAACAAATAAAACTCTCACAAAGGAGAGATGGAAAGCCCTCATAAAGGAGAGGTGAAAAACTCTCAGAAGAGGAGAGGTGAAAACTACACAAAAAACCTAAAGAGTCTCTGCGATTTATTCCAAACATGAAATCGTAAAAAAGATGATAGTAGAGATTCGACACCGAAATGCAGGTGAAGATCCAAATCTACCTACTAGACAAAAACCTACCTACTTTTATACTTCTAACAAAACCCGTATTATAAATTATCAACCATCCATGCATATAAGAGACCCCACTGTGCATTTTCCCTTTGAAATCCGCTATATATTTTTAACCCTTCTTTCATTTCTAATTTAATGGGCATTCAATTTGATGAGGGATAACAACTTAGCAATAAGAAAATAAATCAGTTTTGGCGATTTACCATACCAACAGCAATATATATTTTTTGAATTTTGTGATTAAGGGCTCGTTTGGGAGTGCTTTTGGAGCTGCGAAAAGCGCTTCTAAATGGGTGAAAGCGCTTCTGTCTTTTAAAAATGGTGTTTGGCAAAAATTGCAAAAGCGCTTTGGGTGAGATCCAAAAGCACTTGGAGTGGTTTTGGAAGAAGCACTTGAGAGGTGCTTCTTGTTAAAAGCGTTGCAGGACAAAAACAAGGGAAGCACTTGGCTCCCTTTAATGAAACTTTTAAAATGCCAAAAATAACCATATTTAATTTTTTTAAATGCCAAAATACCCTTTCTTTATTTTTTTTTCTATCTCTTTTTCTCTCCTATTAAAACCAAAACACTACCCTTTAATCTTCCCGTAGTTGTTTCTCTATCACATTAGCAAGTCTCCTCTAAATTTGCTTTCTCCTTTTTCTACACCATTTTCCTTGTAAAAATTCTTCATATCCCTACTGTTATTTTGTAAAGATGGATATTGAAGTAACAACCCCAAATTAACCACATCGTCACCAAAATGGAGACTTTTCAAACGCAATGAAATGCAACTCATCACCATCATCTTCTATAATCTTTTCACCTAGCTTTTTCTGAAACACGATTTCCCTTATGCTATCTTCCTACGATTCTTTAAATTTTTTTAAAGTACTTTTAAAAGCGCTTTTACTGTGTCAGCCAAACACTCAACAAAATATCAAAAGCGCTTTTATGTAGTGTAAAAGCACTTTTAAATGCGACATCCAAACGACAAACTGCTTCTTTGTAGAAGCGCTTATGTCATAAGCGCTACTGGTATAAGCGCTATTGGCATAAGCACTTCGGGAAGAAGCACTCCCAAACGAGCCCTAAGACTGCTTATATAAAAAGCATTTATGCTCATAAGTACTTATAGTAGAAGAACGTGGAATCCAAATGAAGAAGCACATGATAGAGAGATAATTATTTTTCCTGTTATGCTTAGAAGAGTGAAGAGAAAACCAAGCAGATCATAGCAGATAAGAACTAAGCAGAGGATCCGAATCCCCTAACACATCCAATCACAACCTTACACGTAGCTCCTCACGACGATAAATCAGCCAAGACAAAGAGAAAGAGCCATATAAAATCCCACCTCCATTCTTCGGAAAACGTAACGAGAAATATAAAATTATTGAAGGAAAAAAGAAGGAAAGGGTTCAGGTCAATGACAAAAAGAAAAGAAGACGAGTGAGGATACTGGAAACAGTCACCAAATAAAGCTTATATAACAAAAGCCAATTGTTTTTCTTTGAACTTTTTTATTTTAATCTTTGTGTTGAATAATTTTATGCTCTAATTTCGAGAATTCCGAAAGTTCCAGTTCCTTTCGTTTTGTCACCGGCCACTGACTGATTCTTGCATGACTTTCAACCACTCACAAGAATAGAAGGTGCCAAGTCCACGGCTTTAAGTCAATATTTTTGCTTTAAAAATAGTTCTGCAGCAGGCACAGAAAGTAGGATCAAAGCTTGATCAATAGTTCAGGCTGGGAGCTGTTGATTACCGCAGCAAAAGGCAGCAAAAGGTATAATTTCTGTATGCTTTTATATTGCTTTTACTCTTTTGATCTAAGCCATCAGATTCACTTGGTTAACGAATCCGGAAATATCGTTCTTTCTAAAGAGAAAAAAGAAAAACTAGACTTATTAACTGGAGATATTGGCTTAATCCGATATAATTATATTAAAATAATAATTTGTTTTCTTGAATTTATGCACTTTTATTTTTCTAAAATTAATCCGGAAAAATCATTCTTTCTAAAGAGAAAAAGAAGCTAGACCTATTAACGGGATATATTGATCCTCCAATTTTTTTATTTATTCATGGTTATTTTTTCTTGAGTGCACTTTTATTATTATTATTATTATTATTATTATTATTATTATTATTATTATTTGTTTTTGAACCTTTGTATTTATACCCATGGTAAAAATCGTAGTAGTTATACTTGAAGCTAAGGATAGTATATTTTGAAGCAAATTTTAAAATATTTTTGCCAACTGTAACTGATACTATATCCTGTGAATTTTTTTGTTTTCACGAAATTGATTCACCCACCAGGTTGGGATATTCTTGTATGCTTCCAAATCAACGAGACACAGAGGTATGATCGTGTAGAAAAGAAAACCCAGCTCAAGTAAGGTCCTCACATCTTTTCTTTTTTGTTATACAGTGCATTTCCTTTCCTGCCCACCGTTACAACATGAGTTCATTTAAAACTGCCCCTTAGTTTACGACACTAATTTAGAGGCACGGAACAAAAAGGGTAATTTCAGTTTCGTACTTTGCAATATTGTTTCCTGGAGGCATGTTGGTAGATAGCTTTCCGTTAGAAAAATATGACAGAAATTGAGAAAGATACTGTAAAACTTGTGGAGAAAATGAGAGAATTTATTGTTTCTAATTATCTGGGGCTGGAATTTCTTGTTAAGTGCATGAATTTTGGACTGGAAAATGCTTTTGATTTAATATTAATTCGGTATGGATTTGTCGCTACAGAAACTTCAACACAGGTGTTTTAGCAAAAATGAGGTTGAAGAGAGTGAGAGAGTTAACCAGCAAGCTCCTTGGAAACATTCGCGATAAAGATGCAGGATTGCTTAGAGCACATGAGGAGGATTGCAAGCATGATGAAGACATGCAATCCTTTGACACCAACCTCAAAGCACGTACGACAGAAGTGATCAGCAGCCTTGCGAGTAGCGGAGCTATTTCAACAGAATACTTGAAAGATGTCGTAAATTATGTGAGGGTGTGGAACCAGACGACTGTAGACTCTATCTTGCAATTGGAAAAGGATATCAGAGCCGAGGGCAAGAAAGGGGTGAAGGGCAAGCAGAGTAAGGAAAGAAAGAAAAACAGCAGATTTCAGACTGTCGTGGACAAGTACGAAGAGAGTAGCCGGGAGATGCTGGATTTATTATCGGAATTGGACAAGTTTGTAAAGTCAGCTTGCAACAGCCATTCGTCTATTGAAACTGTTGTTCAAGAATATTTTGATAAACAGGAAAACCCGAACGACAGTGGTACTAGTTTAACTACTCATGACCACTACAAGAGGATATCTGAGAAACTGAAGAATATCAAGGCCGCTGCCCATAACAGTTTGGCTGAAAGCTTGCTCCAGAAGGTTCAAGCTTTGATCACGATGCATCAACAATTGCTTGAGAATTTGACAGTCCAGAAAGAGAAGCTTGGCAAGAAGCAGCAGACTGCTCGTGCTTGGAGGAAGGCCACGAATATGTTATTCATCAGTTCTGTGGCTGCGATGTTACTTTGGTCTGTGGCAGCAGCAGTTTTAGCTTCTCCAACGACTGTAGCATTAGCAGCAGCTTTTGCTGCTAGTACTGGGGCGTTAATGGAAGGACAACATTGGATTGTCTCTTGTTTAAAAGAATGGGAAAATGATTTAAAGAAAGAGGAGAACCAAGTTGAAGAAATGCATGACAACACTAGGCTTGCCTTTACAGAGTTGAGCAATATTAATAAGGCTGTAAATGAGATTGATGTACTCTTGGGCCAACCAGACTTTGCAATTGCTGAGGAACAAATAAATGTCACAATGAAGGATATTCAGAAGAAGTTAGAGCCATTTATGAACAAAATTGAGGGTTTGAAAGGCGAAGTCGACAAGTGTAGAATCGAACTAATGAACACAAGGGATGCTGTTGTAAGTGCTGGATCAGCTTTGATGAGCATATAAGAGCCCGTCTGGTAACAATTTCATATAGAAATTCTACTACTAGCTACAAGAACAGTAAGCAAATCTATGTGGGTGATGCAGATCTTCCCTCCCTTTTTTTTTTCAAGGATGTAATTAAGGAAAATAGCTCTAAATCCTTCATACTTCAATTTTTTAGATTGGGGCATTCCAGGGTTCACTCCTCAAGAATTAGAACGGAGCTCTGTGTTTTCTGAAAATGCGAAAAACACATATAAAGTCGTTTTCAATTTTACAACAATTTAACACCTTGTGATGTTTAAAAAAACAACAATATCATGTGTTTTCTAAAGCCAATGCACCAAACAGATATATGCGTGTTCTTGTTCTCACAAAACGGAAAAAACATTTGAAAAACGATATGGAACGAGCCCTAATATATCCTTTTTGAATTAGTCTCTTATAATTGTATTGCATGAGCGTGCCATTATTAATAGCCCAATAGAAAGATGAATTTATTATAAGATGCGTTTCAAACAAACTGATTTCCAATCAAACTACAGTGCTCTAAGTGGAGAACTGGCTCAGATTGGTTCTTTTCTATGCCTCAATAGAATTGTGGACTCTATTATTTTCCTAGTGTAAAAACTAAAATAAAGGAAAGTAAAGTGCCAAAACAAAGGGGTATGGCTGGAATCAGGGACGGATCCACAGAGGAGCAAAGGTGGTCAAGTGACCCCTGCAACTCTGGGATCTGCCATTAGAGGGGAGAAAATTGACCCCTGCAAACTGCTCGACGAAAGTCCCCATAGAGCGCGCAGCGCTGCTCCTACCCAGTGCGCAGCATCCTCCAGCACGCAGCGGTGCTTGCGCTTCCTTGTTTCTTTTTTCCCTCGAAGTCAAAACGACGTCGTCCTATATATATTATGTATTTAAAAGCCTATGTCTATGTTATATATTATATGGTTCTTTGTCTGCTGGTCCAATCAAAAGCTTTTCTTCTTTTTTATTCCCACAGCTGAAGACACGCGCATGCATGATGTGTCCCACTTCCTTTTTTATTTATTCTTTATGCCCTTTTGTTCCTTCGTTGCTGCTTCTGGTCCACTTTTTCTTATGTATTTTTTTCATCTCAAATTCCCTTTGGTCTGTGTTTCATTTCCTCCTCTTTGCTGTAGTTTCATCTCAAAACGACACCGTCTAGGACCAGGTCACTTTACTTTTTTTTATTTTATTATCATGGCCTTTTGGACAGGTTTTTTTAAAATTCCGAAATATGCATATAACAATCTAATAAACATGTTCCTCATAATTTTTTTTTTATAAGAACATGTATATAATTTTTATTGCATTTTCATTCATTTCTACGGGTCTTCTATATGTAAAAAATTGTGAGCTTATATATGTTGACCCCCGGAGAGCAGATTTCTGGATCCGTCCCTGGCTGGAATCAAGACTATCACCACTTTAACTTGCCTCAGATCGCCTGGAAGCTTGTCAGAACGCCTGGAAAGTTCAAAGTTAGAGAACTTGATGATAGTTTGTCAGGACCCGAAAGTTAGGCAACAAGATAACTAGAACTTGAGCAAGAGATGTGAACAATCACAACTTTGAATGTCACGCTAGTTGGAAGTCATACCACCATTTGGCATAGAAACAAAAAATATGTGGGAAATTTCCGAGGAGTTGTCAATTCGAGATTTTAAAAATCTACAGGAATCTTTGAATATGTGTTTGACATATTGTAAATGTTGTGTTTAAAGAAAGTTGGTGTCGGTCTTTTCTTCTTGTCTTGATCTTCTTTATATAGTGGTTGGCTGACCTAATTCCTTGATGGCCAAGATTACTAGGCCTACAATGCTTCTGATTCCATAATAATTCCTAGTTTAGCTCTATGGAGATCCTTCACAAATCATATCAAATCGTTATTACTGGCGTGAAGATAATTACCACTTAATATTTATTTCCTTTTAAATAAAAGATAATATCTTCAAGGATTTCAAGATTTTACTTCATTTGGCACGCACAACAAGTAATTTCCTTGAAATTCTCAAGATTATGTTTTTCTATCATAAATTGGCAAAATTACAAATTTTAGTACAAACAAATTGATGAGCATATAAGGGCTCATCTAGTAACGATTTCAGAGAAACGCGTTGCTAGTAGAACAATAAGCAAATCTATGGTTGATGCACTTCTTCCATCTTTTTTTAAATTATTTTTTTATAAGGATGAAACTAAGGAAAATAGCTCTCTAAAGCTTTCCTATTTAAATTTCTGAAATTGGGCATTGAGAGCAGGGCACAAGCCTAGACATGAGAATATTGTACACGACCCGTTAACACGACACGAATTCGCACGAAAATTTCAGTATTCGTGTCTGAGTTATCATGTCGTGTTGATATCGTGTTGACCCATTAGCCACACGTTAAGCTAACAGGTCGTGTCGTGTAAATTCGCGAATACATGTTAATCCGTTAAGCTCATGGGCATTTTTGTAAATTTATATATTTCTTCTTCTTTTTTTTCCTTTTTCTCCTTCTCTTTCTTCTCTTCCTCCCCCATTCCCCCCCTACTCTCCCACTGTCTTTCTCTCTATAAGTTTCTTCTCTTTTCATTATTTTCTTAGAAACCAAACATAGCTTTCTCTTCTTCTTCTTCTCTCTCTCTCTCTCTCAGTGCCACCCTCTCTCTCCTCCTCCTTCAACGAACCCTCTCTCTCATTGGTTGTGTAATTAATGGAGGTCTATGGATTGGGGAAGGAGGAGAGAAAGAGGAAGAGGAGGGATGCGCAATGGTTCTGTACGTGTTTTTTTTTTATTCTTTCAGTTTTCATATTTTTTTTAATTCTTGACAGGTGAAACGGGTCATATTGTGTGATTTGCAAATTGTAACGGGTCATATTTGTGTTTGACATTTTTCACCCGTTTTCTTATTGTGTCGTATCGTGTCAACCCGTTAAGAAAAGCGGTTGACACGAACACTGCAAACACGAGACGAATGCCAGGCACCACCCAAAGTTTTGAGGGGCACAAAAATTTCTAAATTAGTACATATATATGTTTTAATTAAAAAAATTAATATTTTATTGAAAAAGTCAGCTTTTCTTTTCCAATTAATGCACATTAATTATCTAACCATCTCTCTCCTTATTTTCACATTCAATTAATGTTTAAGAAAACTCTTCCCTTCCATCATTGCCCTTATTCAAAATCAATTTTAGTTGAAAAAAATTTGAATTTAACATGAATATCTTCATTAAAGTTCGGTAATTTTTTTTTGGTTGAGATTCTAGATTGTAGGACCGACGGAGATAGACTGATGAAATAACATACTTTGATTGAAATATCTAAATAAAAGAGAAAGGGATTGATATATTTCTCCCATAATCCTTTTTTATAGTATAAATAAATAAATAAATAAATATATATTTTCTTGAATGTTTATTGGACTTAGTTTCCAGGAGTATGGTTTTCTTTATGATTTCTGGTCTTTTATTCTCATTTATCCATTGACAAAGAAGAATAGTTTATGGGTGGGTGGCCGTGAGAGTGATGAAAGATGTATATAGTGAGTTGAAAACAAAAGAAGAAAGCAGAGTTAGGAGAGAGGAGAGAACAATTTTTTTTTTTTAAAGTTCTGGAATTTTTATTTCCAATTTGTATTAATTGTTGACTTAACTGTTTTTCTAATTAATTGTTGGCTTAATTGTTTTTCTAATTGAATAATTTAGGGAGCTTCACTAATATACCCAAAATGGGTGTTGAAATTATAAAAAAATCTCATATGGAAAACACTTTATAAACACACCCAAAACCCATTTATTAAATAACAAATTAGTGTTAAAGTTCCAATAAATTACAAGCACTGCCACTATCAAGCCCAACAGAAAAAAAACTAAAAAAGCACCCAAAACAACCCCAGCCCAAACTTATAAAAAAGCCCAAAGATTTTGCCATCTCCAAAACCATAATTTCGTTCAAAAAAATGGAAAACAAAAATGTAACTTCCAGCCTACGACTTCAATTAACCATCTCTGCCAAACGTCCCTTCAGTCACCGTCTTCATCAAAGTGTCTTCTTCATCTCTCGAAACCGAAACTCCATAACCACCACCAAGCTTGATCTACTTTCAAAAACAAACACCACACATTGACCTCCACCTACAAAACCAAGACAAAATTTCAGAGAACAATTTCAACAAGAAAACGCTTCAAAGGTAAGACATTTACAAACCAAACATACACTATAATTTTGATTAATTGCTATAGAGTTCCAGTCTAGGGTAATAACAGTATTTTAGATTCGAATCAAGGACAAAATCTTGAAACTATATTGGATTTCACTATTGCACTGACTGCTTACTATCAGTATTTTGGTCGCTAGTTTACTGTCATTCTGATTAATGGCTGTAAAGTTCCAATATAGGGTAATAACACTGCTTGTTTCCTCTGA